CAAGAAAAACAAAACGACCCTCACCCAACCCCTCCCAAACCATCCCCTCCCCCCCCGAGCTTCTCAGAGCTGAATATAGGCTTAATTAAAATTTTAAGAAACCTAAACAAATTTTTACAACTTATAAAATAGTTAATAATAAAATATATATGACATAAACGTTAAGGAAAAAAAAAAGAAAAAAAATACTTAAAAAGAAAAAAAGAAAAAAGAAAGAAAGAGAAAAAGAAATAGGAAAAAGAAAAAAAAGAGAAAACAATCTATAAAATATCAAAAATTATATACAATTCTATACAAATAATTGAGGGTTCTGACACTGTAAGAAAAAGATTAATTCATATGTTGAGAAATAGCACATATCCATTTATTTCCAGGAAGTTATAGATTTCTCATTCCAGTATTATACTGTCATTCTTTTTTGCTGACATACATGCCACCCAATGTAAAAACATTTGATACTTCAATAAATATTGGGAACTTAATTAATATACTTTCTTTACATATAGTGATTGATTGAAATTGCACTAGCAATCTTTTTTTTTTGAAAATTTTTATTTTTTAACATACAAACATTATAAAAATACAATAAAATTTTAAAGTAAAATAAATTCATAAGCAACCATTGTCTATACTACCTTTACCCCCCCCTTACCCTCCCTCCCACTCCCAACCCCCCCTTCACTTCCCAGAGCAGAATACAGAATACAGGGTTAATAATAACAAAATTTATAATAATAAAAAAAGAAAAGAAAAAAAAGAAAAGAAAAAAAGTCATAATTAACCTTTAATTCCATAACCTATAAAACAATTCTCTATAATATTTAATATTCATTCATAAAATAAATGAAACTTTTTAATTCCATACTTTTTCTGAATATAATCTATCCACCTTCTCCATACAATAATATATCTTTCTTGTGTGTGATCCTTTAAATAAGCAGAAATTTTTGCCATTTCTGCAAAACTAGATACTTTAAATATCCATTCTTCTAAAGTAGGCCAAGAATCTTTCTTCCAATATAAACCTACTAATAACCTTGCTGCAGTTAATAAATTCAACATCAAAGTAGTTTCTTTTTCATTTAAGTTAACGAAAATACCAAATAAAAATAGTTGAGGAGTAAACTTTATCTTTCTTCTAAAAATCTTTTGAATGTTCCACCAAATCATAATCCAAAAAGCCTTTACTTTTTTACAATTCCACCAAATATGAAAGTATGTCGCATCATTATTGCCACATCTCCAACATTTGGGCTGTACATTGGAGTACATACAAGATAATTTTTTAGGATCTAAATGCCATCTATAAAACATTTTATAGAAATTTTCTCTCAAATTTTGAGCTTGTGTAAATTTAACATTTCTTGTCCAAATTGTCTCCCATAAATCCAATGAGATCGGTTCCTGTATATTCTGAGCCCATTTAATCATACAATCTTTAACCAATTCTGTTTCCGAGTCTAACTCTAATAAGACATTGTATATTCTTTTTATATGAGCCGGACTTTGATTTTTAATCTGAATAACCAATTGTCTATCTTCTAATGTTATTCCCTCTTTCTTATCTACAGTCCATCTGTCCACTATTTGTAAATATTGAAACCATGACTGTAAAATATTTTCCTGCCTTAATACATCTAGGGATTTCAAATGCCAATTCGAACCAGAGCAAATTAACAATTCTTTATACGAGATTTTATCAAAATTTGTCCCCTTAGAAGTTCCCTCAATTGCATGTCTGGGAATCTCCCAAATAGGTATTTTATAATTTAATCTATAATAATATTTTTTCCAAACACAAAGTAAGGTATTCCTCAAAATATGTGATTTAAAAGTCCGATCGACTTTCTTATTAAAAATTAAGTATGCATGCCAACCATATATTAAATCCCAACCTTCCAGAAAAAGAATATCCATATTTGTTAAGTTAAGCTAATCACATAACCAAGTTAAGGCGGCTGCATCATAATATAATTTCAAATTAGGTGCCTTAAGTCCCCCTCTTTCTCGAGCATCCTGTAATATCTTAAACTTAACCCTTGGTTTCTTCCTGGCCCATATAAAATTATTGATACCCTTTTGCCATTCCTCCAAATTTGCCTCTTTTTTAAGAATAGGTATCATCTGAAACAAAAAAAGAAACTTTGGTAGAACATTCATTTTTACGGCTGAAATTCTCCCCAACAATGACAATTGCAATTTTTTCCAATCTCTTAAGTCCTTTTGAACTTTTGCCCCTAATGGTTCATAATTGTTCTTATACAATTTTTCATTTGAAGCAGTTAGATATACTCCCAAATATTTAACCTTTTTTACCATCTGAAAACCTGTGGCTTTAATCAAACTTTCCCTGTCCTTAACTGACATATTCTTAGATAATATATTGGTCTTATAGTTATTAACTTTAAAACCAGAAACCTTCCCATACTGTGTTATAAGTTCTAATAAACCATCAATCGCTTGATTCGGTTGTTCCAAAATTAAAACCAAATCATCCGCGAATGCCCGCAATTTATACTCCTTCTTCCTTATCTTTACACCCTTGATTAACTTTGATTCTCGAATCTGAATCAATAAAATTTCCATTGTTAAAACAAATAACAATGGGGATAATGGACATCCTTGTCTTGTCCCTTTTTTAATATTAAAATTCTCAGTCAGTCCCCTATTTACAACAATTTGTGCAGATTGCTGCTGATATATAGCTTTAAGTGCATGTAAAAAATTATCCCCAAAATTCATTTTCTCTACCAATAAAAATAAAAATTGCCAGTCTAATTGATCAAAAGCTTTTTCAGCATCCAAAAAGATAAAAGCCACAGGAATCTGGTTATTCTTATCCAAGTACTCAATTAAATTAATAATTTGTCTAACATTATGTTTCATATATCTCCCTGTTATAAATCCTGCTTGATCACTATGAATCAAATCTTTCATAACCTGCATTAGTCTATTTGCCAGAATTTTTGTAAAAATCTTATAATCAACATTTAATAATGAAAGTTCCAGCTCCCAAGTTATATCTCTTAACAGCAGGATGTTCATCCCCAATCTTTATTAAACAATCATTGAGATGCATAGTATGCGTTAAAGAATTTTTGTTTTTGCACATGTGGTCTTCATTATCCATAATCTCCTTATCTCTCATTTTACCCATCAACGATCAGTAAATATAGAGTAGACCTTGTTATTTGCAGTTCACCTATTAACATTTTTTCATATTTCTGATTTGCCTACCAATTTGCTTGTATGTATATATTTCAGCAATTACATCAGGACCAAATAAATGAAATAAGAAGTGCAATGAAATATTGATTTTGAAAACCTCTGTGCAATAGGTCCGCATGAAAAGGACCCAGTTCAGTTGTGATTTAGGTTGTTGATTTTATGACTATAGGTCAGTGGTGGCAAACCTATGGCACGGGTGCCATAGGCGGCACTCAGAGTCCTCTCTGTGGGCACACATGCCGTTGCCTCAGCCTTGCCTCCCCCCATGGCCCCCTCCTCACCAGCAGCCCCCCGGAAGAGAGTCGCCCCCGAGCGTGGCCCACGCGGAGCAGTGCAGCCAAGGACATGGCAGCCAGACAGCATAGACAAGACTCTGCCCTCACGCGCCATTGCACACAGTTGATACTATAGGGAGCGGGCAGAGGGCGTGGCTGCCATGGCACTGCTGGGTGATCTGCGGTGGGCCCTGGAGGCGGTGAGCGGCCCTGCAGGTGGGTGGAGCGGGGGCGGGGCAAGGGGTGGAGCGGGGCGGGGCCAGTTTTTGGGCACTCAGTCTTTAAAAGGTTCGCCATCACTGCTATAGGTAGTCCTTGATGTACAGCCACAATTGAGCTCAATAAGTCTGTTGCTAAGCAAGGCAATTGTTAAGTGAGTTGTGCCGCAGGGACTCACTGCAGTTGTTAAGTGAATTTTGTGGTCATTAAGCGAGTCTGGCTTCCCCAATTGACTTTGCTTGTCAGAAGCTGGCTGGGAAGGTCGCAAATGATGATCAATGATTCCAGGACAGTGCAATCATCATAAATTCATGCCAGTTGCCAAGTGCCTGAATTTTGATCACATGACCACAGTGAGGGTGCAACGGTTATAAATATGACAACTGGTCATATGTCACTTTTTTCAGTGCCATTGTAACTTTGAATGGTCACTAAACAAATGGTTGTAAGTTGAGAATTACCTTTATCACACAAATAATATTTCCTTCAGCTACATCACCAGGATAATATTCTCTTCAGTTTATTGGACTTTTATGAATAAGAGACACCTCTTCACTAAGTCATTCAGTTAAGTGAGATTTCAATATATTTTAGTTAAATATACTGTTTAGCCAAGAAGTGTCCTGAGACAAATCTAACTTTTTTTTAATTCTGTGAAAATGTAAAAGAAGCCTCCTGAAAATTGAATTGGTTCAAAATAATATTATGAGAAATATAGTTTAATTGCCCACAAAACAGATTCAAATATTTTAAAATTAAGATTATTCCATTGCCTCAGCTTTCCATGGATAAGTGGGTCAGAGTTATAGCTAAATATGTGGGGAAATACTGTACATATTCATCAGTTTTCCTTGATAAATAAAAACAGAAAATGTGCTTTGTTTTGTGTGATCATTGCTGTAAAAAAATACTAACTTTTGAAAAGAAGTATAATTTAACATTTGCTTTTATAATTATAATTTAGATAAGTATTTTAATAATTTAACTTTAATTCATGTGAACAAAATCAGGTATTTCAGTACAAATTATTCTTTCACTGTTGTAACTTAATATTGTATTTTTATCCATCCACTTTTGATGTGCAAAAAAGGTTCAGCTTATTGTTCACACATTTCTTCAGAATGAGATAAAAGTTGAAAGATATGAATTACTCTAAATTATATTTTTAAAAACTTCAAATTAAAAATATTTGGTTAATGTTATAAATCTTGAATACTGACATAAATAAAATTACTTAGAATTTCATTTAATCTTGATTTTGCAATTGCTTAATTCCAGAAGAAAAACTACTGTGAAGACATTATGCATTTATGCAGATTATAAATCTGATGAAAGTTACACTCCAAGCAAAATCTCTGTGAGAGTAGGAAACAACTTTCACAATCTTCAGGAAATTCGGGTTTGTATGTTTTTACACTTTAAAAAATTTACAGATAAGTCCTTCCAAAATACATACCTGTGCTTGTATATTCATAATCCAAAATTAGAAAGTTAAAAAAAATAAATTAAGTGGATACAGTCCAGATAATTGAGCTCCTTGACTGGCTGATTTTTGGAAAGCAGGAAAACTTTTCGTCAGATCCTGCAAATCCTGCTTCAGAAAGTTGCTTGATTGGCCTAGCAGTTTTAGGAGATATAAGAAATGGCTTTGTTAGCAGGAAAAAGGGATACACTTGTTACATCTATGAATGTTGCATTTTTTATACTGTTTTAGAAAACTAATGGTTGAGAAGCTAATGGCAGGGAGGTAGGAGACAGATAAAAAGATCTTGTGTTTAAATCAAGCAATTTTTCTGTTTACCTTTAAGCTGCTGATAGCCATATCATATTATAAATTATTTTGCAGAAATTCCTAGTATCAGAACAGGCTGCAATTTCAAACTGTATTTTGAGAAAAATGGCTCAGGATGCTATTTATAGATACCTGATATTTACACTCATGCACTTGAGGACTGAACTTTGGTGATATCTTTGTAATTGGCATAGTGGTATACTAATAACTATCTTGAATCTATGAAAAGGTTTTGACTGCCTCAAAGATTTTGATTGCTTAAGCTAATTGAACTTCTATCTGTTGAGCATGTAATTTCTGATTGGGTTGCTCCAATAACTAAACTAGAAAAAAAAATAAACAAAATAAAAATTGCAATATATTAGAAAATCATGCCAAAAAAATAGAAGAAGGGTAAAGGGCATGTTTTTCAACTGAAATAGAGGGGACAGGGAAAATAATGTGTTTGTTCTATCTCTGAAAGTATTGCTTTAAACCTAAAAATAAAATCAGAAAAATGTTTAGTACAATTGTTGATTTTTTTCTTACCATTCAGTGTCCACTAGATGTCACTCTTGGTTTTAAATTCTTACTTTGGTTTCATGTCCCAGCATCATTCTATCTATACTTGTGTATCTAGTTAAAGAAGCTAAGCAATTAGGTTGGAATAGGGACAAATCTGAAAAAATGTATTCTGAATGTTGTCTTTGCTGTTCATGCATACATGTAAAATGTTTATATTTTAGTAGATGATTTTAACTTTCATAGATATGTCAAATCCTGTTTAATTTTTCAATTGCTACCAGATTTTTATTGCTTCTATACTTGTTTCCAATTGATTTCAGTCTTTGTATGAAGTCTTACATCTTATTAAACAGAGAAAACATCTGACAAGTACTATTATTTTTGATGCTCTCTACAACGTGCATTTTAACAACAAATTAATAGGAGTAGAATTGTAGAAACATATGACTGGAAGCAACCTTGGAGGTCTTTTATTTCAACTTCCTGCCTAAGACAGGAGAGTAGACTACTAGATCACTGCTCTTGTGAAACAGTAATTTATAAACTGGAACTGTTTATTAAATGTCATATTAAAAGGTAGTACCTGGTTGATCTTGATTGATTCCCTCTCTTCCCCCTCCCCCAAATAATCAATGTTGGGTCTGATAAAATCACTAGCTGTCAAGAAAACTGAATGGATGTGTCTATGTAATCACAAGAGTCTTGCTCAAGAGTTTCTGATGATCATTTTGTTGTATAGGTTTTCACTTTTTTTATATTTATCTAACATGAAGAAAGAGCAAGGTAAATGAAAATGCATATTTTTATGAATAATATTGCCCAGTCCAACCTATCAAGAAAATGTGTATAGGATTTCAGCTCTGTTCTAGTTCCCATTCTTTCACTCTGTGTACTTAATTAAAAGTGAAACATCTTGTATTTTAGTACCCCCTTTTCATAGAAGAAGAGACAATCCAATTCAATAAAGAAGGTTAACATTCCAAAATATTTAACATTATGAAAATAAGCCTGAATGTCTTGGATTTTATCTTCATTCTATATTGTTCTCTCTTTTCTCATCTTCTCATACAGCACAGGAAGATTCAAAACTTCTATTTCTATTTCAGATTAATTACATATTACATATTACATACAATAAACAAACAACAAATTATTATTTAAATTTGGTTTATTTTCTCTAAGCATAATTCAGATTGTTAATTATTGTTTGTGCTCTGGTGACTTGGCAAGATGATTTATCTGTAATATCACCAGAACTTCCTTGATATGAGGCATATTAGCTGGATTAACTTCTGTTGTTAAATGCAACAAAATTTCTTTTTAGGGATTAATTAAAAACATGGTAACACTTTGACTTTTCTTTCTTTTTTACAATACATGTCTTCTTAATATTAATGGAGTTATTTCCTTTTCCTTTCAAACATTCAAGATCTTATTTTGAAAGAAATATTTGAACCACATCACTAACTTTTGGCAATTGCAGTTAAAGGGGAATCTGAGGGTTGGAAAAATGACTGTATCCTAATCACATTGCTCAGAAAGTACCAGTGGCAGAAGCATCACAGTCCTCTATTTATCACTGTAATTGAGGCCAGAATTACGGTCATAAGTTGTGCCAGTCATTAAGTGGGTCACCACAATTACCACACCCATTTTTATGACTTTTTTGCAGCAGTCATTAAATGAATACCATTGTTCTTGGGTGAACACTACAGTTGTTAAGCGAACCCATTTACCCAATGTGCTTGAAACCCATACACAAAGCTTTTCAACATATGAAACTTGTAATTTATAGTGAAATTGTGCACCTGCTTTTAGGATTAAACCAAGAGAAAAACTCTCACTTTCTTTTATATACAAGCATGCAAGAGATGTAGAATAGCTTGGAAAGTGTAGGATAGCAGTCCAATGTTATATAGCCACTTCTTGTTTAGCAATTACCTTGGCTAGCAACCATTTGCAAATATAGCAGTAATATAAAATTCCTGCATTTAAACCAAACTTCATACACCTCACAACAAAAGCCTTCACTGTGAAACTGATTAGTGCCTGATCAGTTTCAGGCAGGGGGCAAGTTGGTCTGAGGGTTCTAATCAACTAATTAAGGTAATAATACTGAACTACTTAACTTGTATTAGCGCTTTTCAGGGAAGTGCTCCATTGAGGAGAAAAGCAGCTCAGGAAGAGATAAGCAATCTTTCCACCTTCTGGCGGGAGAGAAAGGGAAAAAAATGAGTCAAGCACAGATACTGTATGAGAGAATTTAATGATCTTCCCGTGCATTCACTCACACTTTCTATTTCACAGTCATATGTGAGCAACCATTTTGTTTAGCAACCATTTCACTTCTGATTTAACGAACAGACTGTCTACTTAGTGACTGTCACTAAACGAGGAGTAGGTATATTCATTTTACACACCTCAACTCTACATTTGGTGGGTCTTCTTACAGATTTTATTTATTTGTGTTGTGTTTGTAATGGTCAAGACATTAGACTGGGAGTGGGGAGACCCAGATTCTAATCTTATCATAGGTGTGAACGCCAGCTGGATGACTTCAGGCCAATCACCTTCAGCCCTAGACTGAGTAGCTAAAACATCTCAGAAGAAGGTAATGACAGACCATTTAAACAGTTTTGCTAAGAAAACTAGAGGACCTATCTGTGAAGTTGCCAAAAATCTAGATTGATTTGAAGTCTCTGAGAAAAAAAACAACAACCTTAGATTAAGGACTTGCAGAGATCTTAAAAAAAAAAACCCACTTCCCTGTTGTAAGCTAATTACATCAATGTGTGCATAGATTCACTAGGATTTGAATTTGAATTTATTTTAAGGAAACACTTTTTTTATCCAGTATCCAGTATTCTAGATGAGTACTAGAAAAACTCTTGAACTATATCAGAGTTTAACATCTGAGCCAGTTCAAGCTGAATGGTAAAAATTATTGTGGGTTTTGACCATACGTGTACACATATATACATAAAATTCTATATACATCATAAAAATGGCAATTAAAAAGTTAAAAGTTATGAGAAAAAGAAATGGAGAGGGGAAGATTTTTAAGATATCAAAGGAACATAGGTTTTTTTTTAATTAGACACTATTTGTTGCTTCTTGTAGAAGCAAGGCACAGTTTGGCTGTGTTATGGGCAGTAATGATGTTGCTGGAAGATAGACATACCAGTGGTCATTTCTGCCTGAGAATTGCTGAATTAATAAATTCTAATAGTTATTACAGTGCAACAGGACATGTGAACATCCTGCATGGTGTGGGGATTCATGGAGGCAAAGTTGTACATATATGAGAATTTTTTGATATTTACCATTAAAGTAAATGCTCTATAATATCTATTGTTTGTTAATGATTAATGATAATTGTGTGCCTTGTGGTGAAAGTTGGTCTTCAAGAATAATATAGCCTTGGTGACTTGAAACTGAAATCATGTTACAATCCAGTATCAAGGATCCTCTCCAGTGAACTTTTGTTTGGTCATATCCCATCCTTTTTATTGGCTAATTAGAGAAGCCATATGCTGTCAGTTTTTTTGTAATGGACATCTTCCAGATAGATTAGCTGGTATCCCCGTTAACCAGGAATGTCAGTCCTATTGGATTAAATACTGTGTTTCCCTAAAAATAAGACCTGGTCTTTTTTCCTTTTTTTTTTTTTTTTTGGCCTCCAAAAGAGGCACCTGGTCTTATTTTGGGGGGGCGTCTTTTCCACTCCCCTCGCTGTTGTGGCAGCAACAGCCCTGCCCAGCCGGCCCACTTCTTCTGTGGCTGAAGGAACAGCTTCAATCTGCAGCTGAAAATGGAGCTCCGGCCTGCATTTCACAGTCAGAGGCCTTCTGGAAAGATTTCTGCAGCCGAGAACCAAGCTACTGATTGAATCTATAGCTCTCAGCTGCAGAGGCCTTCTGGAAAGGCACAAGTTGCCAGATAAGTGCCTCAGCCATATTTTCCTTTTAGTCTACATTCTGGCTGCCCTAACATTATTTGAGGAAAACAGTATGGCACAATTATTATAGGGGATTCATGTAACCTAACTGAAGCCAAAGGGTAGAGTTCAGGTATTTGATATTCATTATGGAAGATCCCAGATA